CTGGTCCCGCCAGACAGCCCACCTGAGCCGTGGGGAGGGAGACGGTTCCCCAAGCAGGTGTGTGAGGGGCGCACTGGGCAGTGACTTCTGTCTCCACCACCCAGAACTGTCCGTTGCTGCTGGCAAAGCAGCACTGAGAGAAACGGACTTATGCAGCCGGGGGCCTGTTCTCTAGGGCAGCGCAACTCAGTTTACCGCGACCTCAGAGTCAGACACGCGGTGACGTCTGCACCGCGCCCGGCGCCTCGTCTGGGGCCCACGCGCGTCACTCCCGCCTCCCGGGGCGTCGGCCCCCACGGCGCAGGTCTCCGGGCTGCTCCCTTTCCCGAGTCCCGGCTTCCTGCTAATGGTGCAGTGTCTGGCCAACAGCGCTGTGCTCACGAGACAGTCAGGGACGAGCTTGTCCAGGGCTACCAGTCTCGGTGTTTCGTTGGCGGCCCGGGCCTGGCTTCGCCTTTGTCTCCTGCAGTGACAGCAGGCGGTCTGCTTGCTTCCACCCCCCGGGCCCGCGAGGCCCCAGGCCTGAGGCCCCAGGTGGGAGGGGGCGGCCGCCCCGCCGTGCCTGCCCTAGGCGCCCACGCTACTCAGGTCCCTGGGCCTGAGTCCCAGCTGCACCTGCCTGAAGAACCTCACCAGGGGGGCGCCTCCCACGGCTCGACTCTGGGCGCCGGTCTGCCCGGATGGCCGGGCCTCGGAGGCAGTGTGGTTTGGTCATCTGGAGACCGGGCCGAGGCCCTGGCCGGTGTGGGCTCAGCGTCCTGTGTTTGTCCCCCAGCCAGGTGCAGTTCTCCACTCGGCCCTGACGAGCAAGTTAATCTGACAGACGGGAACTTCTCTGGGCCCGTGCGCCCTCTTCATGAGGTTGGTTGGGACAGTGTCATCTTGTGACTGTGAGGAAGGAAGTTACCTCCGAGTTATCTCCGAACAGTGAGTCCTGGTTGTACATTTAGCCAATAAATCACTAGTAGCCTTTCAGTGATCACATCAGACTGGAAGGGGCGAGGTCAGGGCTGCAGCAGACACGATCCAGCGGTGAGCCTCGGGTCCCCGCGCAGCGCCTTTGCTGAGAACACTAGTGCCGGCCGCTGAGCACTGACAGGATGGACACTCCGGGTTTGGTGATCGCAATGATCATCATCACACAAACTGGACTCGGCCTCCTGGGGAACTTCTCTCTCCTTTCCCATCAGCTCTTCCTCTATATCACTGCCTCTAGGCTAAGGAACACAAACTGGATCATCAAAAACCTGATTGTGGCCAATATCTTGGTCCTGTCCTCCAGTGGAATTCGCTACCTACTGAAATACTTTGGGGTGTCTCAAGACAATGACTTGGGGTGCAGGCTCCTACCCTACCTTCGTGGAGTGGGCAGGGGCGTGTCCATCAGCACCACCTGCCTCCTGAGTGTGGTCCAGGCCAGCACCGTCAGCCCCCCAGGCTCCACGTGGGCAGGGCTGAGAGACAAAGCTCCCAGGTACACCTGCCCCTCTCTCGTCCTGTGCTGGGTCCCGAGCCTGCTGGCTAATGTCCTCTACCCCATATTCATGTCCAGTATTCATAGTCACAAAAATGACACAAGCAGGAAAATATTTGGAGAGTGTTCTTCTGTGCGTCACGACACAGCCAGAGACTTCTTATATGGCACTCTGCTGTCCTTGCCCGACATTGTGTTTTTTGTGACCATGGTCTGGGCCAGCGGCTCCCTGGTCTGCATCCTGTACCGGCACAGGCAGCGCGTCCGGCACCTGCACAGCTCCAGGGCCGCCCCGGCGTCCTCCCCCGAGTCCAGGGCCACCCGCACCATCCTCCTCCTGGTGAGCACCTTCATCTGCTTTAACTCCATTTCCTCCATTATGAAGGTTGTTTTGTCTGTTGTTTATAATCCCGACTTGTTCCTTTTAAACTTCAATACAGTGATCATACTGTGTTTCCCGACCCTCTGTCCCTTTCTGCTCCTGAGCCGGGAGCCCAAGAGGTCTCAGCTGTGCTCTGCCTGTACGGCCAAATCCCCCGCCCTTTGCAAACACGTGCACCGTGTGCAGGTGCGCGGTTGTTTAGTCGCTTCATAACCCACCCAAAACCCCCGTCCTAAGTGTGGTTGTGAGCGACTACGGCTTGGGGACAGGCTGAGCAACCTCTTCAGAGCAAGTGTCTCTGGACCGGTCACTGTCCCCACGCCTGTACGCTGTCCCTAATGCTCCTGTGGGCACCCGGTCTTGCTCCACATTGTTCGCCCTGTGTGTGACACCAGTTCCTGACTCTGATATTTGGAGACGCCTCACCTGCGCCACCTGAATTGTCACAGTAAACTCTTAAGGAATATCCCGCATGGAGCGTAGGACGCATGGAAGCGGAACCGTGGGCTCAGAGCTGTTCTGAGGGGAGATACCCACAGCGAGTCTGGCTTTGGGAGCCAGGGTTGGGTTTGCACATTCATCTGAGGGAGCAGAGCCCTGGCTTGGATGGCTCTGTGAAGGCGACTCCGGGTGGGAGCGTCCTCTGGCGGAGCTGGCTGAAGCAGGGGCTGGGCCGGGCAGGCCACACGTACATCTCAGCTCACTGGGTGAAGGTGGCATTCAAGACGTGCTTTGCGTGGAGCTGGGGTGATAGGAGCAAGATTTCTCCCGGGTGAGGGTGATGTGAGGAGTTTGCAGAGCGAGACTGGAGGTGCCCACTGTGGTCCCTCGGGGTGGAGGCGCCCTGAAACTCGGCACCTGGGAGATGCAGGCGGAGGGGAAAGACCTGGGTCCATCTTGTGCTCAAGGAGCCAACTGACTGGTTTTAATTTCAGCAGAGGTGTGTAGTTGTGTGGTGTGCTCTGACTTACATCTGGAGCTGATACAAGTGACGAAGACTTATGTTGACAGACAATGGCAGTTTCTGTATGCATATACGCTGAAGGGAGTTAATCCAAGCTGTCTTCCATCTTCCAAACAACACACAGCCTGTAACCTTGAAATGGATTAGTTTTGTTTTCCACTTTTGTGACATGGAGCAGGCCCAGATGGCCTCGTAGACAGCGCTGTGTGGTCTGTGTGGCTGCAGGCAACAACAGCGTGAGGGCGCAGGAGGCTCTGTGGTGTTCAGCCCTCGGTCTTTCTGACTCTCCGCTCCCGGCCTGTGTACGCATTCCTGCTTCAGCATGAAAGGCGTGTCCAACACACCGAGGGCTCCAGGTTCTTCTTCGGTTTCCTGGATCTGCAGTGACTGTGCCTGGCCTGAACGTCTGCACAGCAGTCAGCGCCAGTAGCAAAATTGGCCTCTGAGATGTGGTGCCCTCTGAGATGCAGGAGGCAGTGAGGGGCGGCCAGCCGGGAGGGATGGCACCCCGTGGCCAGCTCCTCTCTCTGTGGTGCTCCAGGTGCCCAGGAGGGGCAGAGGGCTGGGGAGGGGCGCTCTTCACAGCCCTGGGAGCCCGCAGGAAAGTGGAGGCAGAGGCCAGGACCGTGGAGTGAGACCCAGGCTGTGCAAGCCCTCTGGCCGACACCGGAGTTGACCAGGGAGACCCGTGCTCTGCACATCTGGCCCGCTAAGGCTCCGAGAGGGCCCTCAGACCCGTGCCCACTTAAAGTTAGCCATGTTATTTATAGGTATATCGGTTATACTTTGGAAAAATGTCGAATACTATTCACTACAATATGACATTTCTTAAAGGGTAGCTGATCGGATGTGTATATTGCCACAACATATTGTTGGTTAAAATAAAACCTGTTTCAACCACCGTCACTGTATCCTTCAGCCATGAAAAAAAATTCAGTGCCTATAGCAACATTAATTACAGCTTAAAGGTTGCCATTAGTTGTGAAGTGTAATACAACACAGATACTGTTATGTTAGAATATCTAACAACACATCAGCACATCTTTCTCATTTGATCTATGCTTACTTCATTTCCAGGGTTTTAGATATCCCACCTTAGAAATGCTCTTTAATTTTCTCAGTATATCACCCCATTTTCTTGGATCACCTCACCCCCTCTGCCCAGCCGTATCCTGGTGGACCGCTGGAGGCTGAGCCTCTTCCCAGGGCTGGAGCCCAGAGCGGGGAGCTCCCAAGTCCATGTCCTGGTCACCTGACCCCATCCCTCCTGGGAGCTGAAGTCTCAGCTGCCCCTGGCCAAGGGACAGGCTAGCACAGGCTTGGAGTCTCTCCTGGGCCCTTGGATCATCAGACTGGGATGGTGAGGGAAGGCTCTGGTTGGGAGACCCTGAGAGGCCCCCTGTGTGGTGACCAAGGAATGTTCCAGGCAGGAATCCTTAGAAGGCAGAGGACATGGAGGTCAGGGGACGATTAACCTGCAAGACAGTCAGCTACCTACTTAGGTAGGTAGTTCACTAGTCAAACAGCAGAGTAGCTAGTTAGACAACTAGATGGCTAGCTAGGTAACTAGTCAGCTATTCCATGAGTTAGTCAGCCTGTTAACAAGTCAACCAGTTAGTAATAATATACTTGGTTGGCTGGTTAACTAGTTAGCCAGCAAATTAGTCATCTCACCTTTATCTGACAACCAAGCACCAGAGTTCTCTTTGGAGACAAACCTTAGATGGCATAAATCACTTACCTGCTTTCCCCAATAGACATCAGAGGATTTATAGTAGGGGGACTAAGTATCCTGGACTAGAAGGTTAATCAACCCAGACAGTTTCTGTCTAGACTCTAAATCATGTGGAGGTCAGAGAGGTGACGTGTGGCGGTGAGATCTTTGCAAGAGCACTGTTCTTCATTATGAAAGTTGTTTTATTATATAAGGGATCTTGTAAAGACAGTATTACTATTGATTTTCAATGTGCACTGTGAAGTCTCACCGTGGTGTCTGGGGAAGGGATCTGGAAGACACAGGGCCGTTACTGAAGACTCCTCATATGCGTGTTTTCTGGTGAGCGGGCCAATGAGTTGCAAATACAAGGTGTGTGACTGGGACCGCAGGCAGGCAGGGGCTGGACTAGATGGCAACACATGGAAGTCAGAGGGGTAGGACTCTACCCATGTTCTGGTCTATGAGAGCCCCGGATTATGAAAACCCACCGCACCCGCTGAGCACGACACAGAGCAAGCCTAGCCCGAGAGATCTTCATGAGAACAGCATGCAGGTGAGCAGGGAGTGTTTATGCGGAAGAAACGCTGGCGAAGCAGTGACGGGCATCTTCTCAGACAACTGCTGCTGGGTATCACACATGAGTGAAAAGGAGTCTTCTCAGGAGAGGCCAATTATTAGAGAGGAGAACTTCATTTGGGAGGACAGACAGCAGGGCTACACAGTGTGTGGAGGACGCATGAAGAGCCACTATATCACTTAGAATGGATTAAAGTTGTCCTATTTTCGCAAAATTTATGTCCAAAAGAAATTTAATCATCTTCAAGTCTAATTTTTTCCCCTACCAATGATGTCTATGCTGCCTCACTGTACTTCATAACAATATATATTTATATTTAGACTTCTAAGGCTAATAGCACCTGCAAACACGTCTTTTCACAGTGGAAGCATCTGTGGAAGCATTATACAGGAACATCCAAACCTGTATAATTTATATTATACACACACTCCTCCACTGCTTGACCCTGCACCTGGATCCCTATTTGACCCTGACTAAAGCCCCACAGGAAAGCAACAAGTCTCTGCCTCTTACTCCTGAACTTTTTTTTTTTAAAGATTTATTTATTTGTTCATACAGAGGTGGGGTACAGGCCAGAGGTGCAGGGGCCGTGAGAGGATTCATCAGAGAGAGTGGGGAGCAGAACAGGCCAACCGAAGAAGTACACTGCTGAGGGGAGTAGCGGGCGGTCAGGAGAGGTCTGCCGCGCCCTGTGGTCACCTCCGGGGCAGGCGGGGATCGAACTCATGCGGAAGTGGCTTTTGATTCTCAGTGCTGCGCTTTAACCCGCTGCGCCACCGGGGAGGGCCCACTCCTGAACTTTAATGGTCAGTTCCCACACGCCCACTTCCTCTGCGCCTACCAATTGCCACTGGCTGTTTGACATGGACTCAGTAAGGATGGAAGAAAAAATATGCTCATCAGGAGAAGTGTTAGGAAAAAGGCAGAGGCAGCCAGGAGAGGTCACTGGCCAGGAAGTCCCCCTGAGAGCGAGACGCACACTTACGGAAGCAGCTTGTCTCATCTGTCTCCTTCGGAGGCCACCTGGAACTCCACAGGGGAGCGCTTCCAGAGAGACCTTCTCCCGCCACACCCTGCGCCAGGGGTCTAGTCTCTGGTCCCCTCACAGCCGGGAGAGCGCTGGTGTAGAACAGGACCTGGAGGGCAGCGCCGGGCCCTAGGTTGGTGCAAGAGAGCGAGAGAACGCGGGGAGGACATGCGCGCAGCAATGGGGGGGGCTGTCGCGTGGCCACCACACTCAGGACCGGAAAGGCGCCCGCGTCACCAAGCACATTAGGAGTGTAGGAGGTGAGCCTGGGGTAGGGAACCCACGTCAGAGCCTCCTGTGGGTGCCCAGCACAGGAGCTCCCGAGCTGGAGACCGGCCGCTCCGGAGCGGAGCGAGGGGAAGGCTGCATGAAGAGGCGCAGCTCCCACGGTGCGCTCTGCCTCAGGAAGCTGTACAAAAGAGGGGCCTCGGGAAAGGACTGGGGCGGTAGGGCGCTGCCTCCCACGCCAGATCCGCTGGAAACATGAAGTGACTGCAAAAGCCCAGCGCGAATCTAAAGAACTGAGTGCTTGGAGCGCTGCAGAGCCCCGGGTTGCCCAGCTTCACCTGCCCCCGGTGCCCGATGGGCAGCGGCCTGGAGGTGGGGCACAGGCAGCGGTGGGCGCCACTGAGGCCTGTCCTGCCCTGTCGTGCCCGGAGCCCAGGTCGCCCAC